TACCTCCTCTGGTCTAGCCAGACTTGCAAGGTCAAATTTGAGTCATGGTAGTGGGAGCGGGGAGGAAACATTTAGGAACTAGAGGAAAGTTGTATTTCTCATCATTGTTACATCGCACCCTGTGTAAGACATATTCAGGTTTTGTATTAGTTATTTATGTCTGATTACAAATAACACCACACCATAGTTAATATTAATGGTATTTATTTAAGACTGAAGTGAATCTGCTTTGAGTGTTTTTCCCTCTGTAAAAGCTGTGCCTTCTCATTATAGAAAGCTTTATAAGAAGCAGACAAAGCATTATGCAGAGAGTGACGGTTGAACATACAGCAGATTTTTATTGAATCAACAAGTCATTATTCTTTATAGTATAGAGCAGGCACTGCTTTAGATGTGAATCCTGCCCTTTACAATTAACATTCTAATAGATGCAGGATATAGTATACCTTGTCGGTCTTCTATATGAAAGCATGTTGTTGTTTTTTCTAAAGAACCAGAAGATTTTTAAGTGGTATTATAATCTTATTTTTCTCCTGGAACATATAATGAACTTCCTTCCATGTCATCGAACCATCTTTTACAATATCATTTCTAACAACTGTAGGAGCATTACTTGTGTTGATATAGCATAGTTTATTTAACCTATCGCCTATAATCAGGGGCTTTATTTTTCAATATTTTTTGTTGTTTCATTTAAGGTTCATTGCTTGTGTGCATGACTCTCATCGATAGTACAATTATGACCTTCACACAACAATGAAGGCAGAAGTGGTTCTACCTTTCCTCTTCGTTCTTATGCCGTCTCTGCGTGGACTTCAAGGTAAGTCGCGCTGATAAACACACATAAGAATCGGCTATTTGCATTATTGGATAGGGAACATGAACATTCATGCAAGGTGGCTGCTTCTTCTGTAGCTACGTTGTGAGGAGCCATCAAGTTGGCTCTGACCCACAGCGACCCTGTGCACAACAGAACAAGACACTGCATGCCATCTTCACAAGTGTTCCTGAGCCCATTGATGCAGTCACGATGTCAATCCACCTTGTCCAAGGCCTTCGCCTTTTTCACTACCCTTCCACTTTACCAAACATGATATCCTTCTCCACAGATTGGGACTTTTGATAGTCTTCTCCAGCACCACAGTTGAAATGCATCGATTCTTCAATGTTCTTCCTCATTCAGTGTCCAACTTTCACATTCATATGCAATGAACAATGCTATGGCTTGAGTCAGGCTCATGTCAGTCTTCAAAGTATCATCCTAGATTTTCAACACCAGCTGATTTACCCAGTGCAATGTATCTTTGATGGCTGTTTCCATGAGCATTGATTGTGGGTCCAAGCAAGACAAAATCCTTGACAACTTCAACCATTTCTCTACTGATCATGATGTGAGGATTTCTCCATGTCCAATTGTCAGGATTTTGGTTTTCCTTACGTTGAGTTGTAATCCATGCTAAAGGCTGAATCCTCCATCTTCACCAGCACGTGCTTCAAGTCGTCTCTTTCAGCAACTAAGATTGTGTCATCTGCATATCACAGATATCCTGATAGCCATACCATCAGAAAAGCATTCTAAAAGATCAAATAAATGAGAAACAGGGAAGAGAATGAGGGTTCAAATGAGGATTACATACCATATATTCTTCTGTCCACTCTGATTAGGGCTCATTATATTCTCTTATCTGCTACCAGAAAAAAAATAACTAGAAGGTCGATGCCTAAGGTTTGCAGTGGTTACTGCCTCCCTCCCTGTCTGTTCAGGGTCTGGAAGCTTTGCTGAAAAGGGTTCATGTGAGTGACCTTGCTGGCATTTGGAAAACCAGTGGCAGAGCTTGAAGCATCATAGCAACACACGAGCCACCCGGGATGACAAAGTGACAAACAAGGGGTGGACTGCTAAAAGGACAAACTGATCTGTCTTGAAAAATGTACACCCAGAGTGCTCTTTCGAGGCAAGGAATGCTAGCTTTGTCTTCTACGCTTTGGACATATTGTCAGGGGAGGCCCATCCCTGGAGAGGAACATCATGCTTCATAAAGCGGAGGGGCGGGGAAGAAGAGAAACACCCTCAAGGGGACGAATTGACACAGTGTCTGTAACAAAAGTCTCAGGCAGAAGAACAATTGTTAGGTTGGCACAAGACGGGGCCGTGTTTCTTCCTGTTGTGCATAGGGTCTCTATGGGTCAGGGCCAACTCGATGGCACCTCACAGCAACAATAGAAAGGCTAGTTTGATTAAGTTTTTAGCTTGATCAACAACATTAGATAGAAATATTTTTAGCTTTGCTGCCATCTGAGACAGGAATTCTTAACTGGCCATTGAAATGTTAGAAGGTGAAACCCAGGGACTAAGGAATAACAAGTGATCCAAAATCGATGGTGAGGAGGGTGTAAGAGGCCTAGTAGGGCTTGATCAAGGGCAATGTAACCGAGAGGAATTACTGAAACCCAAATGAAGGCTGAACATGATAGTGGGACAAGAGGAAAGTAAAAGGAAATGGACGAAAGAACTAGGAGGCAAAAGGCATTTATAGAGGTCTAAATATAGGCATGTACATATATAAATATATTTATATATGATATGGGGAAATAGCTCTATGTGCATATATTTATAGGACTAATATTAAGGTAACAGATGGACATTTGGCCTCTACTCAAATACTCCCTCAATGCAAGAAGACTTGTTCTATTAAACTGGAGTTTTATGATGCACACAATCACTGAAGACAAAGCAGGTGCATAAGTAAATGTGGTGAAGACGGTGCCTGGCTATCAAAAGATATAGCGTCTGGGGTCTTAAAGGCTTGAAGATAAACAAGCGGCCATCTAGCTGAGAAACAACAAAGCCCACATGTAAGAAGCACACCAGCCTGTGTGATCACATGTTGTCGATAAGATCAGGTAGCAGGTATCAAAGAACAAAAAAATCATATCATTGTGAATGACGGGGCATGCGGAGTGGAGTCCGAAAACCCATCTGTAGGCAACTGGACATCCCCTTACGGAAGGGTCATGGGGAAGAGAAGAGCCAGTCAGGGTGCAGTGTAGCAACGATGAAACATACAACTTTCCTTTAGTTCTCTAATTCTTGCTCCCCCCACCCCATCCACTATCATGATCCCAATTCTACCTTACAAATCTGGCTAAGCCAGAGGATGTACACTGGTACAAATAAGAGTTAGAAACACAGGGAATCCAGGACAGATAAACCCCTCAGGACCACTAATGACAGTAGAGATACCAGGAGGGCAAGGAGAAGGTGGGGGAGAAAAGGGGAACCAATCACAATGATCTATATATAATCCCCTCCCAGGGGAAATGGAAAACAGAAAAGTGGGTGAAGGGAAACATCAGACAGTGTAAGACATGAAAAAATAATAATAATTTATAAATTATCAAGAGTTCATGAGGGAGGGAGGGCCGGGGAGGGAGGGGCAAATGAGGAGCTGATATGAAGGGCTCAAGTAGAAAGAAAATGTTTTGACAATGATGATAGCAACAAATGTACAAATATGCTTGATGCAAGATGGATGGATTATGATTAGAGTTGTATGAGCCCACAATAAATGATTTAAAAAAATATTAGAAGGTGCTGGTACAGCAATTTGAGAAGTTCACACTCCTTGTGTTTCTCTCCCACCTTCCTATATCTTTCTCTCAGCATTGTCCCATCCTCCTCTAGTCCTCTGTGCAGAAATCCATGTCTGTGAAAGAAATGAGCAGATAGGCAGAGCCCTGGAGGAGGAGGAAGACAAGATTTTGTGTAGCAATTCTCCCATCCTGGGTGGGCTTAGCACATGTCTATAGGTGTTTACTCTATTGCCTAAAAGATAAGGTCCCTTTCAGCCCTAATATCTTAGCATCTGCAATGCTTTATAAATTAGTCAAAGTAGCTGAATACTGCCTTTAATGATTATAAAGTAGCTGGGTATGTTTTCTTCACACACAAAAAAACTATTTGTAATGAAATCCATTAATGTTTTTAAATAGACTTCTGAAATTGACAGTTAAGGAAAAGTAAATGAGAGAATTGAACTTACATTTATATTCAGAATAGTATTTCTTAACTATAGTTTGACGACCCCATCGGCTACCCTGAAAGTAATCCTAAACCAAATTAAATGAGTCATTTTACTTTCCCCTTGGGTTGCTCCTGCCTATATTCTTCCTTGCTTGATTTTAGTGTCCGGATATTTCTGACAGCTCCCTTGTCTTTACCTGCTCAAATATTTTCAGACCCAATTAAGATAATAAGTGCCATTCTTTTAGGTCACTCTGGCTATAGTGAGCTGGATAGACGAATCTTTTATTGTTGTAACAGGTGTTAAAGGTGAATGTGCTCTGGGAATAAAAAATCAACGTGAGTCTTTTACATACAAAATTCACTTCATTTCCAGCACTGTGGTCGGCTGCAGTGGGAAGACAGATGAGATGATTTGATCAAGTGGGTAGCAAGCCAGTGTTTTAAAATGGAATCCAACAGATATTCACTAAAACTTGTAGAAACTCAAAAGCAAGCCATGAAGCTATGTTTAGTCACAAGACAGGTAAGGATTGTTGATACGGTCTGTTGGTGACCAGGCTGCTGATAGAGGGTGGTTGTTCTTGAGAGTCCTAACATAAGCACGCATTACTCAACATCTTTGTAACGTCGTCTCTACCCTTAATATGATATCTGTTCTTTTCAGATTTTGTCAACTACTTTTTGGATGCTACACATGAAGAAACAGTCATTGGAAGACTTAACGACAATATTGTTCTCCCTTGTTTATTTGAGAGTGGGCCTGAGGTTGTAATTCACTGGAAGATTCTAAATTACTATGTTCACAGCTTCTATAAAGATCGTGACCAATTGGAAAAGCAAAATGTCAGATACGCAAATAGGACCTCACTGTTTGATAGCAAAATCTGCAGCGGGAATGCTTCTGTCTCTCTCAGAAGATTAAGCTTTCAGGATGAAGGAATTTATATCTGCTATGTGGGAACATCCGATGGACAAACTACAAACAAAGTAGTGTTAAAGGTGGGAGGTAAGTGTGTATGTAGTTCCTATAAAACATAAAAGGAGATCTTTCAATGTTATTCCAAGACATGCCTTTTTCTCCATTTAATAGGCTGTCACTTCCTTCTGTCATTTCAAAATTTTTCTTGGGAAATAATTAAAAGTGAATGGAATTTTCCCACAATTTTTTGTAGCATCTCTATACATGTATCCTAGTATAGACATGAAATAACACAACTCTTTCCCCATCGGGGCAATTTCCAGGTTTTGCTTTGTTTTGTTTTGGATTAAAACAAGGTTATAGTGAACAGCCTTACAGTGATATGTAATACTAGGAAATGTTCTGAAAATAATGTTACTGTAGCATAAAGGTTCGTTTCCCCCTCAGTATGGTCAGCAAAAAAGTATTCTTCTCAAAACGATTGCCAATGTGTTGGCAGAAAAAAGTACTGAATTATTTAAGATGGGTTTTTCTGTCTTATAAATGAGGTTTTATCATTTGCTTTCATGTTTTTCTGTGTTATCTTTTCTTTTTTGCCATTTTCTAATGGGTGGTTTTATTTAGCACCTGTTCTTTCTTCCTCTGCCCCGTTCAACTGCTCGCGACCTTGACTCAGAAGTTTCATTCATTTGAAGTATATCTAAACAAAGCCAAACCGTCTCTGATTAAGCACCTGTGGAGTTAGGAAAGCTTCATACGCCCTAGCTCACTGGCTGAGACCCCTAGCAATGAGTGCTCAGTGTCACCATTAGATGTCTTTTGCTCAGCTCTTTCTCTAGAAAGAAGAAGTCTGAAGAAGCAAGATCGGGGCTGTTGGGTGGGTGGAGTAAGGTTTCCCAATGAAATTCACATAGGAGAGAATTTCACTTAAAGCATGAACCAGTACATTGCTGTGATGGGAAAAATATATTAATAAATTCCTTGCCACAAATCTCCTAGCTCTTTTCTCACCAATGCAGTTTTCAATTTTCTTCAAATTCCATCCTAATAAGCCCATGTGATTGTGCTTTGTCTTTAGAGAAATTTGATAAAGATTCCCCTTTGGAATCTCTAAAGACAGTCAGCATAGCCTTCTGAGCTTGTCATTCTGTTGAACTTAACCGGCCCAACAGATCCCCTTGAAACTATCATCTTGGTTGGATCTTTTTGTTTGTTTGTTTGTTTGTTTGTTTGTTTAAAGGTAATTAATGAGACTAAGATACGTGTATTACTATAACTTGTCTGCAGCCATTCATGTTTGAACACATTTTGTTTGGAATAAACCTACACATATATGAGGTAGTAATTCTTAATGTCCTCTTAAATCTGCTCTTTTTCTGGTTTTACTAAGTACACCCTAGCTTAAGGTTCTACAGTATTTTTTGGCCTTTTTGTTCTTTCAATGAATGTTATAGTTTGCTTACAAAGTGTAGCTTTTCCTATGGTGGGTATTAAAATATTAAGTCTGTTGAACAGATGACCCCAAAAGTAGCTAATGATGACACTTTGTCATGTGTCCTCCTGTCTCTCATGTAGCTTTCCTCGGGCCTGTGATCGAGTATGACCTGGGGAACACATCCATCTTCCTAACATGCTCTCTAACAGCTTATCCTCAACCAACAATCACATGGCAAGTGGACAATACAACTGTCTCTGGAAGGACTGTGAAAGGGAGGGGACCTTTACCTCTATTTGATATGATAAGCACACTGAATATTACAGATTACCACAAATCTTACGAATGTATCATTGAGAATCCATTGCTGAAACAAACTTGGACAGGGCGATGGACCATGAGAGGTGGGTTCTGGACGTCTCTTGGTGTTAGTAGTTGAGAGGGAATGAGAGTTTAATTTACATGGGGAAAAAATAGAAAGACACAATGACAACCACAAAACGCTGTCGCTGTGGTTACAAGATGAAAACTGGAGTCCAGGGCTAATTCTTACGTCCTGGATTGCCTTCGTCGTTCCTGAGATTTCGTTTCCTGAATACATGGGGGATTTTCTTAGTTTTCCAGTTGCTTATGAGTTGAATGAAAATATTTTTGAAATGGAAGGTAGAAGAACCATCCATGAATAACTATATTTTTGTATGAGGCTCATCCTTTCCACAAGATTTTTTACCTGCATTGCAATTCAAAAAGATCAGAGGGAAAAGGAGACGTGCTTGTCTTTTAACGCATCACAAGATGCGACCATAAGAGTTATTGACACCAGTAGAGAGTAGATTGAGTAACAAGAGAGGAATCCTGAAGAACACCTCATTTGAGGGGTTAATATGATGACAGAAGCTATGGCACTGGTATTCCAAATATCCACAGGGTCGCCTATGCTGGACAAGTTTCAGCTTACTACCAGACTAAGACCAAGTAGGCATGAAGGCCTGGAAACCTACTTTTGAAAATTAATCAATGAAAACCTATCAACTACAATAGAATAGTGTTCAATATCAGGCTAGAAGATGAGCCTGTTAGGTTGGAACACATTCAGAATACAATATAACACAACAATGGACTTAAACATACCATACCATGAAGATAACATAGGAGGAAGCAATGTTTCATTCTGTTGTACAAAAGGTTGCCACGAGTTAGAGCTAACCTGGCAGCAACTAACAACAACAAATTGGAGTTAAGAGGGTCAAGGGCAGAAGGTTGTAAAAGAGAAGGAATAGAAACAAACACTGAGATAAGTGACGGGACATTAACAGGATTAAATTGGGTATGTTGAAAGAAAATGTGCATAAATTGTTGAATGTAAAATTGATGATCTTCTCAGTAAGTAAGTTTTCACCTAAATCACACACAGATAAATTTTTAAAAATAGGCTAAAAACTGATAGCAACTTTGTTAAGAACTCAGTATCAGGTTGTAAGAGTTAAAACACAGATACACCATCCCCCCAGCAATTCCAGTTCTTAGGCAACTTTGAAATATAAAATTACACTTGATTGGTAGCAAAATGAAAAGTATGATTTTGAGGGCTGACATAACGGTGCTCCATGACTAGCCAACAGGTTGACTATTGAAACCCATCCGGAGGCCCCTCAGCAGACAGGGTTGGCAATCGGCTTTTCAAAGGTGACAGCCTTAAAGTCAGATGGGGTAGTTCTATCCTGTTCCATACGGCCGCCATGTCAGACTCCGTGATAAACAACAACAAAGCTTTCCTTTGAACAGGTCCACGGTCTATCTATATCATTGTTTTTCCAAAAGGTTAACCCCAAAGAAATCAATCTCATAATCTCTGTTCCCTATTTCCTAAGTTGAAATTAGAATTATTTGACAATGCTGTCTTCATTAACATGCCCCTCTCTATCCTGTTGTTAGATCATCATCGCAGAAGGCGAAACGAAGCCATTTCACTCCCGTGTCAACTTGACCACACTTTTTCTCTATCAAATCAAGACTTCGTCGTCACTTGGTCCAGAATAAAGAATGACACTTCTTCAGTGCTGGCTTATTTTAACTCTTCACAAAGCACAATTATCAAGGACTCCCGATTCTCATGGAACCAGTTGCCTAGAATCCAGCGTGATTTCTCTTTGACTTTGAAAGTTGTTCATCTTTCAGACAGTGGGGACTATTTATGCAACATTTCTTCAAGCAAATATAGTTTACTCACAGTGAACAGACTGTATATAGGTAAGTTATAGGGTTAGAAAATGGATTTTGGCTTTAGCACTAGAGTGTTGTAAATACCAAATATGGAAATGAGGTTAGCATTTAACCTAATTTAACCTCGCATTTAACTTAAAATATGATTTACAGAGACTCTTCATGTCCAGATAGTAGAAATTCTTTTTCTCCTTCAACCGTGTAAACCACTATATTGGAAAAGAAATGCTCCCAGAGCATTGTTTCTCAGCGTTTCAGGAATTCGAACATTAAGAGCAAATCTATACTGATTGATACATCGATGGGCTGAGACTCTTCAACTCCTGCCCATCACTCTACATGACACATGTTTTAGGGGCTGGAGTTTGGAAGTTGAGCTTGTAAGTACCGCTGGCTGTTGTGGAGCCCGTTTTGACCCATGGTGGCCCCAGGCGTGAGGCAAAAGTCCTGCTACCCTAGACGCCCGCCTTTCAAGGACACTGGTGATTTTCTTCTCTGAATCGCAACTTTTTAGTTGCTGCCTTGCCCAAGAGAATCTACAGTCTTTGAAAAGGACATCAGTCAAAAGTTATGTTGTTTGAAATCCTAGTGTCTAGATCTGCTCGATAATAAAGTTAATTGAATTAAATTAAATATTTCTGGCTCAAATTTGTGACTTTGGGAGGAGCCCTTTCCAAAAGGAGGAATTGATGATAGAAGCTATACTTTGCTAGATTCATTTTTTTCAGGAGGAAAAAAATGTGCAGGTGAAAAGTCACCTTCACATTACTATTGAAAAGCTTCTTCTTTGTATGTCTATAGAATTGATGAATAACGTAAATATAACCAAAGATTTACATTTTGGTCATGGTAAAACTTCATTAAGAATATGTTCATAAAATTGACATCTTCTAAACCCCCCAAAACTCATTGCCATTGAGTTTATTTAGACATCATGATGGAGGTTTGGCTTATTTAAGCTATTTATTTAGAATATCATCATCATGGCCATAATCAAGATCACGAAGATGCGTGGATTCAGCATCTGGTGAGTCCCCTCTGGCCATAGACCAGGGCTATGGATAGCCCTGTTACCATGCAGAATGCAGCGGAAAACAGATGATGGCAGAGGTAGTTACATTAACATTTACCACTTTATTATTTGATATCTCTTTTGACACACTTTAAAGCTGTTCTAGTTTTTAATAGTTTCTACTTTCTTTGTGATTGAGGTTTTTCTCTATTTTATTTTGTTGTTAAATGTTTTGCTTTCTGAGGGTTTTAAAAAATATTTTTTTCTCTGTATGAAATCCAGGATAAGTAAATTTATAGAGCTAGTAACTGATTACTGTATTGAATTACAATGTTGTAATTACAATATTGTACAGTATTGATTACTGATTTCTTGAGGAAGAAATGGGGAAAGTTGGGGTAAGGGTGGGGAGCTAATAACAATGAGTAGAAGAAAAAATGTTCTCAAATGGATTGTGGAATTGATTGTACACTCTTCTTGATATGATTGAATTATTAAATTGTATGATATGTAGATTATATGGCAACAACATTGTTTTAAAAGGAAACAAAAATAGCATCGTGATGATCTTCTATATTGAGTTAAATAAGCCAACCCACTCTCGTTGGCTCATTTCTGACTCATAGCAACCCTATAGGACAGAGTAGAATTGCCCCTATTGGTTTTTTGAGACAGTAAATCCTTATGGCAGCAGCCAGCTCCATCTTTCTCTCAGAGAGGTGACTTCAAGCAGCTGGCCTGTGGTTAGCCATCCAGCATGACCCACTAAGCCACCAAGGCTCCATGCAGCCCAAAACATTGTGATCGAAAGCTTGCTTCCACCTCTTCCATAACATACATCACAAAATTAATAGAATTTGTCCTTTGGTAACATGAGTCTCTCTAAGTTTCTGCTTTTGAAAGGTCCTATTTCCTTTGCTGCCGTTATAATCATTCGAGTTCCAACCTCGATTCTGAATAAAGTTCAGGCTCTTCTAGCTATCAATCAGGTGGTCACGTGTGAGACATGGTGGTCCCAGACATCTTCTCTCTATACCCCCACTCTCTCTCCCTCTAGGACACTGTTCTTTCCATGCTAGGTGTGGACTGTGCCCACCCTTCACCCTTTACAGAGCATGCTAGGTGGACCAAGTCAGTAATCACAATTATTTCTTTGTTAGAAAATATTGATTTCTATTACATTACAAAATATAGACTCTTAAAATGCATATTAGACTCAACAGCTCTCAAGTTCTCAAATTCCTTTCTCTTTAACTTCTTTATCCAGAATTGCCAAATCAGTTAACCTGCATACTAGAGGCATTGTGACTTGATGTTATTTATGTTTATATCAAACTCTCCAATCCAGACTGGGCTCTTGACTTTATCTGTAATGGGTTTTTCATCATGTAGAGTTTTCGCTAATAACATCTATCACCCAGCTGGGATGCTAACATTATAAGCATATTATTTTTATAAATAATAAACATACTCCACACCAACATCCAAACTTAATCCTTTTTAAAAAAATAATTTTCTTCCAATTCACAGATGCTTCTGCTTCATATGAACCAGATACTCAAGAATACCGGGATTTGATTATTGCAATTTCGGTGATTTTGCCACTTCTGATAGCTTCGGCGGGTTTGGTGTTTAAGTACCGTCATCGAATTTGTATTTCAAGAAACAATGACCCGACCACAGGTAAAATCTCATGGAGCATTTAAGCCCTGTCCCTGGGTGTTGAGGTACAAACATATCAAAGATGACAAAGGGATACACAGTTAAACTCTTGCTGGGCATTCAAAGGAATCAATACTTTCTGGGGAGTCATTCACAAAATATACTCAACATCTTTTGAGATATCCCTACATTTCCACCCAACTGTTCTACCTGCAGGAGCCGTGGAGGCGTATGAAACTCACAGGGGCAGGTCTGCCTTGTCCTACAGGGCTTGTCATGAGTGGGAGTCGACTCAATGGCAGTGAGTTTGGTTTGGGCTTATTCTATTTGTAGGGATTTATCCTGAATGAAGGATCAGGGGCACATTTGATGCAAGCACATTCATCGCAGCACACTGCCATAATTTCCAGTTTTCCCATTTTAAGGTTAAATTAATTGAAAATCACATGTGATTATTTTTTATAACAAGGAGAAAAGAATTTTAAACCTAACATTAAGATGATAAACAAATGATTCCAATCATTCTGTATTAAAAGTAGCTGAAACAATATTAACAAAGGTCATTTCCCCCCATAAATTTACCTCACCCCAATATTTTCCTAAGTCCCCAGCTTCCTCTCACTGAAGGAGCTCTGGTGGTATAGTGGGTTATTCGTGAGCTGCTAACCACAAGGTCAGCGGTTTGAATCTATCAGTTGCTCTGCTGTAGGAAGATGAGGCTGTCTATTTTTGTAAAGATTTCGAGTTTGAGAAACCCAAAGAGCCAATTCTATTCTGTACTGCAGGGTCATTATGAGTTGGCATTGACTTAAAAGCTCTATGCTTGGTTTGGGTTTTGTTTTTCTTCCCTTTTCTAGTTTCATCTCCACACTCTATGATTTCTTGCTCAAAGCTTAGTGTATTACTGGTACTGCTCAAAAGGACATGTTCTGATGAGCCATGTGATTTTAATTCTTTTTCATTAAAAAATCTACAATGATTTTTATTACTTAGTTATTTAAAATGATATATTAAAATGCTGTGATCATATGATCTCTTAAAATATATCCCTTTCGTATACAGAATTTGAACAGGAAGATACAGTTAACCCTTCAACAATATGGGGATTAGAGGTGCACGCTATTATGCAGTTGAAAATCCATTTAAAACTTTTTATTTCCCCAAATTTAACTACTAATAGCCTACTGTTGACTTAAAACCTTACCAATAGTATCAACTATTAATGCTATTAATGAACACACACTTTGTATATATATTACATATTGTACTGACATTCTATAAAGGCTGCATTTTAATATCAAATAAAAAAGTATTTTGCAAAAAGTATAAGTTTTTTACCCTGCTGGCATAGAATCACAAATTTCTTTTCCTTTTATTCAATGGTCCTTACACTGCATCTTTTATGTCAAAACAGTGGACAGTCACAGCTGTGGACTTCAATGTTGTACTTATCAAGCAATTCAACGTTTTTATTGAAATGTCATGACTTTTCTCTGCTTTCGGGGAGTATTTCCAGCATTACTAGTATTATTTTATGTGGGCCCATGGTGTACTGCACTAAAACTTGCTCTCTTCCATCAAATCCATTCCAATTCATAGTGATCCTACAGGGCAGGATAGAACTGTCCCTGTAAGTTTCTGAGACTGTAACTCTTTATGGGAACAGAAAGTCCCATATTTGTCCCAAGGATCAACTGGTGGTTTTGAACTGCAGACCTTGTGGCTAGCAGCCAAACATGTAACCTACTACGCCACCAGGATGCCATAATTATAAAACAGAGCGTAGGAATTTTGCTCAGGAATGGCTGTTTACTTTCTATATTGAGAGGATAGCTAAGTCAGGTCTCTACAGAAAACACATGGTACACTCGCATTGTACAAAGGAAAATGTGTTTTCAACATTTACAAAGGTTAGTGCATTTTCTCAGGGCTAGCAGCACCCGATTCCTTGCCAGTCCTAAACCTGAAGCACAAAGAGAGGGAGCATCCCTCACAATCGAGATTGAGAAACCCATACAATGCCACCTGGCGTTTAAGGAGTGGTGGCCTGTATTCAGAGGACCGAGCCAACCAAGGCGACTTTACAAGGCAGGAGTTGGGGAAATGACTACCTGTTCTTACTCTTACCTCTTAGTTCCTGAACCAGAAGAGCAGCCTGCTGATAGAACTGCAGGTAAGCTTACCTTGGCAAAAAGCCATGATGAAACAAGATGAGAAACCTAATTCCGGAGAATCAAAGGATACTGACAAAAACTTATGGTATTGCCCATTTAAAAAAAGAAAAAGCCAAAATGAGGTTCTATGTTCTGTAGTTTGGTGGGCTGAAAATATAGGTGAAGCTGTTATATTAAATTCTACAAAACCTTGTCTACCCCCAGACCTATGGTTGTTATTTCATATGGCCTTATGTTTCTGTGTTTTGCCTTTAAATCTTTTCTATTTCTCTGTTTTTAAGTGGCTTTAGTTTGAATATGTATGAAATTACTAAATTTCAGTGAAGCCAAGAAGGAAGACATTCCTTGAGAAATAGTGTAGTGGTGCTCAATCCTTAATCACTAATCTCAATGCCTCCTTGGCCGTTGCCTTTTCATTGTCAACATTTGGAAGGTACTAGATCAGCACCCCCAGAGCTGAACTGTCTTGATTCCCCTTTGGAACACCTGACTTAGCTATAAGAATTTTCTAGTGTTTGCTTCTGATGAGCTGCTTCTACATGAATGCATGTGTAATGCTGTTTGTTGAAAGACATGAGAGTGGGTGTAATTAAGGTGACTCTAATCATTTTATTGAGATAGGTGAAGAGAGAGCTTGAGGGTTTGTAAAGTGGTCTTTTGTTAATGTTTCTACTCTTCCGTCCTGTAGAAAGGTGTGATCTTTTGCCCACTGAAATGCCAGTCGGAAATTCTGATAATGCACAGGAAATGACGGTAAGGAATTACCTTTTACAAACCGTTTGTAGTCCAAGACTGTGGATATTGGAAGGTAATTGAAGTGTTGATTGATTCACATGTAATCTAATGACATTTTTTATGAGTATGGATTTTTAAAAAGCAAAAAAAAAAAAAAATATTGCCAAGATAGTATAGCAGAAGTAAAAAAAACACACAATTAGGTCTTTCCCAATATCTGTAATTAAAAAGGCCCTATTTGGACTTGCTGAAATAAATGGTTTCTCTTCCACCCCCTGTTGTTATCTGTGAAGAAGATCCTCAATGGCCCTATTCGTAGGAAGCTCCTCCCAAGAACTTACTCTACTGATGGAAGCATGGGGCTTCCATAGAGATGTGGATACAGAAATAGATAAAACAGAGCCAAGGAAGGTGTGACTTCTGCCAAGGGTCAGAAATATTGACCCTCCATCCCTTTGCAGTCACTTTTTGATTCCCTTGGAGGACTGATAAGTCAATCTCTGAGTTCATTGGCTCAATGGCAATAAGTTGGAGTTTGGGGAGTAAGATTGTATACTTCTCTTTTGATGCCTTGTTTTTTCCACTTGCTAAAAACTCAGGAATAGATGGCAAAAAAAATTGATAAGGCCCAGAGTTCAAAATCACGTATTTCATCGCTGTGTTACTGAATCTTTGATTACAGAAGCAATTGCTTATAGCTTCCCTCACCCAAACGCACGGCCATCATTTAATACTTAGGATATTCTGTATTGAAAAACAGCTATTTACAGTCAGTTTTTCTCCCATCTAGCCTCTTTCAAGTGCGTAAAGAAAATGGAGACAAAACATGACAACACCTGAGAAGGAAACTGAAGCTAAGGACTTCAGGCAATCACAGATAACATTCAAGACCTGAAAACGTGTAACCGTCCTATTTTGCAGTATCTATATTATTGATTAGAAACTAAAGTGCCGCTCACTCCCAACCGTACCTCAATCAAAATTGTAAATGCCAAGAGGCTGAGGATCCCAATTCAAGGAAGGAAGAAACGCTGGAACGCTGAATCCTGAATCTTCAAGGAGCACAGCACATTGGTGAGATCCAACGTGGAAACGTTACTGAATGGTCTGCGAAATAGAAAAGCTTATGTCACCACATTTAAGCGCAACTGTCGTGAAACACTTTTTAAAAATGGCATCCTCCTTTCCCTCTCTGACAGGCCTCTGCGTGGCCTGAGATGACCTGCTTTTACATCACTATGGAATGCAGGGCTGTAAGTGCCTTTTGGATACTTCTTGTTTAAACTATGATTAAAAAAAAAAGAAAGAAAATATTTTGAGAATGATGATGGCAACAAATGTACACATGTGCTTGACACAACGGATGGATGGATGGATTGTGATAAGAGTTGTACGAGCCCCCAATACAATGATTTTTTTTTAAGAAAAAAAAAAAAACTACCACTGTCTCCTTATCAAGGGAAGCTCTCAGTCTTTCTCCCAGGGACAAGGGAGTTCATTTTCTCTGACAGTGAGACAAGCTGGAGAAGAATCCAGGAGTCGGATCAGAAAACAAGGCTCCTGAAACTTCACTTAAGCGCACTTTTCTCTGACTTCTGTCAACACCGCTTACTTAGTGACATACTCATTTTCTAGACATTTACTTTCTATTGAGCCCTCGGAAGGATCTCTCCCTCCCCGCCACCTGACCCTCATAACCCCCTGATTTAGTGTACATGGTTTTATTTTCATCTTTCACACAGACCGCTTTCTTTTTCTCCTGTTTTCTGTATTCTGCCCTCCCTGAATAATATAAACAAGGCTTGGCCAGGGAAGAGAACCACTGCAGTGTGGTGGATGGGTCCTTTGAACCCCAGAAGTCCGGGCTAGCCTGATAAACAATAAAGATTTCACATACTTCTAATTGCACATTGTAGTGGTCTTCTTTTAGCCGAACCCGCAGCAATCTGGACTCCCTCAGACACGCGTGTAATGTGAGGGCGTAAGTCAGACAAACAATGTCTGGGGAAGCTAAAGACAGCTGTACTGAGATGTCTGCTGGAGGCAGACAGACATGGTCTTGCTACATCAGCGCCCCATATGCTGCATTATTCTGGCAAACCTGTGATGGCCATTCTCAGTAATTATTATTTTAAATTTCCCTAACAACCCCCATTGTTGCTATCAATAGTGTCCAGCCACGAAAGGATTGATTCTGTACAAGTGAAGAATTCAGGTACTGTGATATGGACTGTGATAGGTACCATGACATTGGCCCAATATCTCTCTCTCAACAGGGCTTTAAAAAATTAGCACCAGGGACTAAACAAAGACAAACTCAATGGAAGACCGTGTACCCTAGGGGGATTATCAATAAGACTCTCTACCATAAATTAACAAGGAGGTTTTAAAAGGGAGCCAAAAGCATGTAAACAAACAAACAAGCGTAGATCCAGGAATGGGGCCTAGCTCCAACTTAAGAACCATTCGTTCTTACATCATGGCCCTGCTTGTTACTCAGGCTCAGAAAGGGGACACAGAAGATATGGTGCTATTGCAAACTGTGGTGAAGAAATTTGGTCTCAGCTATCAGATAAAATAGCATCTAGGTCTTAAAGGCTTGTCTCCAAAGAAGCAGCCAACTGAGATGTCAACTAAGTCCACCTGGAGGAAGCAAGCCATCATCAGTCACCGAAGGATTGTAAATCACATAATCCAAAGTCAAAGGAGGGAATGGTATAAGAGCTTAAATTGTGAGGATCTGGTTTGAAGAAGGCAGTGGGATGGATGACAGTGGGAGCCCAAGGTACACTGTGGGAAGTACATAGGAAGTGAGCCTCCGGTGATCTCCCTCTCTCCATCACTGAGGGCTGGGAGGAAAGTGCTGACTAAGCAGAGTGCATTGGAGAGATGAGTGAGTGTAGAAGAGCAAAGGTACGAACCTGACGTGAACAGTTAAAACTCTGTCAGTTGATTCCCCCCTCTGATGCGTGCTGGACTTGATCTGGTTTGAACATTTTCTGTATTTTTGTTTTGTTTATTTACTTTTTGTTCATATAAGGGTTTATCTCAGAGGTGTTCTATCATTGGGGGTTACCCTTTTGAAGTTATGTTACATGTTTTGCTGGCTTTCGGTATATGAAACCCCGAATTGATGAACTTAGAGGGCCAGCAAGTAGAATAAGGGTTTCAGTGAGGTGGGGGGACAAGGGGTGAGGCGACAGGGGGTTGGGGCACATAAAAGGGAGACAATATTAAGGAGTCCAAGAAGATGGAGAATATTTGGAGACTGATTGTGGCAGCAATTTTACAATACTGCTTGACATGATATGGAATGGTATGATACACGTTTTAACTCCCAATTAATAACAATTTTTTATTTAAAAAAAGAACTGCCTTTCTCAGTTACATACCTGTTGTAGACTGCACAGGGGTCTAGAGTGAGGTTACAATCCAGAACCCCAAAGTGGTGTATCTTAAGAGCTGATTCAAGTATCAATCAACTGAGGATAGGGTAGAGGGGTGTGACAATTAGGTTTACTGTGCCCACTTTGCTTCCATAGGAGCATGTGAGCCGACCTTAATCAGGTCACAGCTTAATTGGAGGGTGATGAGACAAATGGCTTTCCAAGGCTGACCCCTTTCCCTCCTTCTCCCTGGTGATCAGACCAGCTCTCTACTGCCTGAGCTAGTCCTTTGCTTCCACCATGTGCTGAGCTGCTGTGGGCAAAGCCAACCCGTGACTTGTGTTGCCTTGCCGTGCATTGCCAGAGCTTGAGGACTCATCGGGACTGCTTCACAGTACTCCTGTGCAACTCGCCTCTGTTACGCCTCAGCTTCTCATTTTCCTGCCGTTGCTGCCCCACCCCGCTTATCTTGCCTGAGAGACTCCACTGTCTGCTTTCTTGACCTGGGACCAGCAGCCCATGTGAGTTGAAGGACCTTTAGTATATTAACTGTTCCATGAAAGTGAGTTGAACTGAGTCCTCGTACTGCTGTGTGGACCTTCTTGCTATATAAATCTATATATGTGTATAGGTTATATATACACATAATTATATATATTGTATATACAATCATAAGTGTCCTTGCTTTATTTCTCTAGAGAACCCTGCCTAACAAGGTTGTAGGACCAGAAGTCTCTTTCGTAAGAAGGTGAAATACCAGGACCTGGGGGAAAAAATCCAATTGATGATATAAGGAATTTCATGTTAGTGTTATATAAACAATATCAGCTCAATCAGCAAGATTTAGGGGGTCATGGTGGCATACTGGGCCTGCATGT